GGGGACGCGGGCGGAGGAGGCGCCGCCGCGGAGCCCCCGGACGCGACCATGTCGGAGGTGCTGCCCTACGGCGACGAGAAGCTGAGCCCCTACGGAGACGGCGGCGACGTGGGCCAGATCTTCTCGTGCCGCCTCCAGGACACCAACAACTTCTTCGGCGCCGGGCAGAACAAGCGGCCGCCCAAGCTGGGTCAGATTGGCCGGAGCAAGCGGGGTGAGTTGACGGCCCTTCCCTGACACCCTCTTTCTCATGGGCGTTGCGGCCTGGCGGAGGCTGGCCGGAGTCTCCTATCCCCGAACCCCGGTCCGACCTGATGGAATCCCGTCCTGCAGAGCCGGGGGATCCCGCACTGCGGTCCGGCTCCCGCGAGCCGCGGGAACCCCTCCCCCAGCCCGGTGGGTGCGACGGTCCCCGGTGGGGTCACCGCGGGGGCGTGGCGGTTTCTAGCTGCAGCAGGGACTGGAGGGTATACCCGGGTCACCGCCAGCGCCGAAGTTTGCTTTTTGATTTCTGCTCCCCCCACCTTTTTGCGCAGTGTAGTCGCAGCTGCGCTCGCTCCGCAACCCTGGGGGGTCCCAGGGCTCCCCAAGGGACAGCGTGGGGAAATGCTGGGGGAGGACCCCATTCCTGTGGGGAAGGCGAGGGGCGCTCGAGTCGCAACGGGCTCTTCATTGTGACTTGGCAGAGGGAGGGGGTGGCCAAGCCCGGGCGCTCGATGCGCGAGCTGGAAAAGCCCCGGAGAGACTGAGACGCAGAGAGGCTCCGAGGGGAGCTCCAGAGGCTCGGGGACAATGAGGGATTCCGACAGCCGCTCGGGGAGACCGAGACGAAAAGATGGAGGGACGTGGGGGGTGGGGTGCGGGAGACCAAGGTAGGCAGAGAGACCGAGACAAAGCTGCAGCGGGAGCCAGAGAGGGAGAGACAGCGAGTAAGTCTGAGGAGGACAGAAAGGCAGCTGAGACAATGAGGGCAAGTGACATCCCTAGACAGACCCAGAGACTTCGACAGGCTACCGTGGCGCCAAGAGACAGATGGAGGGACTAAGCAAGGCGAGGCCAGGTAGAGAGAGTGAGAGAGGCGGGCAGCCGGCCAGGGGAGGCTCTGACCTCTGGTTCGGCGGGGAGAGCCTGGAGGCCGAGTCCGCGGGCAGGCTGCGCTGGAAGGGCGGGCGACAGACCCGGGCGCCCACTTGGCGAGGCCCGAACCTTCGACGGGCTGCGCGCCAGCTCCGGCGTCCTTTCCTGGCTCCCCGCACCTCTGCAGCCAGCCTTGGCCACCCTTGCTGCGCTCGGGGCATCCCTGGGGGTTCCAGCCCCGGAGGCCTCGGCTCCCCCTTCCCTCCACCCTCTCTGCGGTGGAGCCTTCTTGACAAATAAATGAGCCCTGTGGGGGCAAACAGGAGCGGTGGCCCAGTGGTTAAAGCGCTCGGCTACTAACCGAAAGGTCGGCGGCTCGAACTCACCAGCCGCTCCGCGGGAGACAGATGCTTCCGTAAAGATTTACAGGCTTGGAAACCCTGTGGGGCAATTCTTCTCTATCCTATACGGTCACTATAAGTCGGATCGACTCGACGGCGGTGGGTTTGGTGGGTTGAGGACAAACGCCGAGGCTGCGGGTTTGCACCCTCTCTGCTTCTTTTTCTCAGAATCCAGCTGGGGCGAGCAGGCTAAGGACGCTAGGGGTGCGGGGAGGTTCAGAGGAAAGCAGCAAAGGGACCCGAGGCAGAGGCTGGGGTGGGTGAGCCTGTTTCAGTGCATGCGGAGCCCCCCTCCCTCGCTCCCCTCCCCGACTAGGCGTAATTAGAAGCGGGGTGGAGTGGGGGGACCAGGAGACCCCTGGCGAGGCCCAAGCTCGCTCACCTCTCTTTTTCTCCCCTTTTTTACAGTTGTTATTGAAGATGATAGGATTGATGACGTGCTGAAAAATATGACAGACAAGGCACCTCCTGGTGTCTAACTCCCCCAAAGACAATGAGTTAAGGGAGAGAATAAGAGTAAGAACGGCGATAACGGTTATTGGCAAAAAAAGCATGAAAAGAGAAAGCGCTTGGAAATTTATTACTAGCTTGCTACCCACGATGAAATCAACAACCTGTATCTCGTGTCAGGCCGGGAGACATATGAGGCGTGAGAAGGAGGAGGAAGAGGAGGTGTTGGGTTCCTCTGCAAAAATAAAAATAAAAAATAAATTAAAATTAAGAAATCACTATATACACACATATAAAGAAATAAGAAAAAGAAGTCTCAGTTGCAGCTATTTGTTGAAATTAATATCCATTTCTTTTTATATATGGTGAATATTGCGCAATGATAGGTCTGGATCTTGAACCACTTAAATAATAAAGCCACAACACCAGGGGTTTTGAGGTGTTGGATTTCTTCGCTGATTTGGCTGTTCCCAATGTTTACATTATTTAATCTTGCAAACATGATTTTGTGCACTTGGATGTGAAATGCTGTCCAGTTTTATTTTTTATGTTGTTATCCTTGGATGTACAAAAAAAATCGGAGAATGATCTCTATAGATGCTGTTTTATTTTTGGTCCTCTTTTACGGTTATCAGGAATGAGTTTAAAACAAGAATGGGACTTTTCTAAGGACTGACACACAGAAAGGACCTTTTTAATTTTAAAATGAATTGTAAAGCTTGTGTTTCTTTGTTGTTGCAAGCTATTTGCCCAAGTAAATGCAAATGGACACATTTTATATGTCAAAAAAAAAAAAAGAAAAAAATGCTTGAGCTTTTTCTAATCCCCTTGCAGTCTGTTGTGTGAGCAGCCTGTTTTTTTTTCTCTAATATTGTGTTAGTTTATTCTCTTTAATGGACTGTAAAAAAAAAAAAAAATGTAATCACAAGAGTGCCAAATATCTTGAAATGCCAAAAGGCATTTTGGTTTTTCTTTTCCCTGTGCTCTGAGTCCGTGTACAGGAATGCTTGGAGTGTCTTTTCTGTTATTTATAGGGATTCTCTTAAGGCACACCAGCTGCCTGTTTTGCATGGTATTTGCAAAAATGCCTCTTGTGTGAGGAAATCTTTTACCTTTTTTTTTTGTTTGTTTGCAATTTTGGAACTCAAGAGGTTTCCCTTCCATTCTGACCCCTGCTCCCTCTTTTCTTAATTCAATATCTGTACGTTGCACCTTTAACCAGCACACAGGGCTATTTCTTCAATGTACAATAAAAGAACTGTTCCTGTGTCTCACTCTTTTCTCTGTTTTGGTTCTGGGGACTTGCTATTTGTCTGCTGATTGCAGGCAGGAAAGAGGGAATGGTGGCTTTGGTCTGTGGGGCAAAAAAGAGGATGTGGAGGGCACTGTGGGCTGGGCTCAGATGGTGGAAATATGGGCCCCTGAGGGGCCATTTCATGCTATTTTGGATTTGCTGTGGATCTCCCCGCTTGTCTGCAATTTCTGCCATCCATCCTCTGGTAGGGTGGAGAGAGAGGGAGGGATGATGTGTTGGGAGGTAGCCAGCCTTATTAAGAGCAGCGTTTGGAGGCTGGCAGGCTTGAATTCAAATCCCAGCTCCTTCACTTTCTAGCTTTGTGGCCTTGGGCAAGTCCCTTCTTTAAGCCTCGGTTTCTACATCTGTAAAGTGGGGATAACACAGCTCCTACCTCATAGAGTTGTTGGGAAGATTAACATAATACCCACACATAATGGGACTCAGTATTAGGCCATTATTTGCCCATAAAGGAGTCGCTGGGTGGCACAGTGGTTAAGCCCTTGACTATCAGCCGAAAGGTTGACAGTTTGAACCTAACCAGAAGCGCTTCGAAAGACAGGCCTGGAGATCTGCTTCTGAAAGGTCGCAGCCTTGAAAACCCTACTATGCACACAGGGAGTGCCATGATGTGAAATCAACTTGATAGCAACTAACAACATTTGCCCATATAACCCTTCACCAAGAGCCACCTGTCCTCCAAGCAGGGCTGAGGGGGACCATGCTCCTTCCCCAGCACCTTCACCTTCCAGGGCTCCCAGGTCCCTGGAATTTTGGGGCGCTATATATGTGAAACAAGCTCGTTCTTTTGGGGCCCACATGCTGGGAGGTCACAGGTTTTCCCACTCAGCAGCCTTCCTCCAGTCACCCCTTGGAAAGCCACACAATGAAAAAATCTCAGCCCAGTGTTAGGCTTCGGGCAGTTGGTGGTGGAGCAGGCAGCTGGAGGAGGGGTGTTGGGCGGAGGATGTTGGCTGAAGAAAGGCTTGAAGAGGTTTTTCTCCGGGGCTGTTACGCATCCAGGAGCCCCAGTGCCAGGAGCTTTTAATGTGTTTGTTGTAAAACTGTCAGCCGGGAGTCACAACACAGCTCACAGTGACAGGAGCCAGAGTGTGACTCAGACATCAGGTAAGACAGGCCCGGGAGGGAGGGAGAGAAAGGGGCTCCACGGGGCCCGTGGGGGTGGGGGGAGTGATGTCTCATCTCCCTTTCCTGATAGTGGACGCCCTGGAGCTGGAACTGCACAGGAGGTCCCAACAGAGAGCTCATCATCTTATCAGTCACTATTAGGAACGGCAGGCAAGGCCAGCTGTGCCAACGGGATGATTGGGGATGCCAGCTTTCTTTTCCTAGGCGTGTGACCCTCTTCCCTAAACTGGCCCTGCAGATCCCAGGGAATCCCAGCGCTTTGGAGCGGAGGGCTTTTAGGCACACGGAGTCCAGCTCTCCCCTGTCCTTTCAAGAAGGTTGAAGCCCAGGGAGGGGTGCTGTGTAGTTAGGGGTAGGGCCTACCTCCTGTTCGACATCAGCCTGCCAAGAGGTGTGGGAGCCAGGTCAAAAGATTCTTTCCGAAGGCAAAGCTCCTGTCCGCACCCAGGAGTAATCACCACGTAAGAGATCAAAGCACCAGACAATTACCAAGTGCTCTCCCTTCCATTTACTCACATCATCCTCACATCATCATCCTGGCAACCCTGGAAACCCACAGCAATGAATTCTCTTTAGGAGGTGAGAAAACTGGGGCCCCAGAGGGGCTAGGAGGATCATGAAACGTCCATATTAATTTAGCTCTTAGTGTTTGCCACGCTCACTCACTCAGTTTTCACAACAGCCCTGTAAGATGTTGCTGTCAGTTGCCATTGAGTTGGCCCCAGCTCATGGCGACCCTGTGTACAACATAATGAAACCTTGCCCAGTCCTGCACCATCTTCATGACTGTTGGCATGTTTGATTCCATTGCTGCAGCCATTGTGTAGTGCCTTCCAACCTAGAGGCTCATCTTCCAGCACTATATTGGACAATATTTTGTCCCTATAAGATTTTTTTTTTTTTTTTTACCAGTTGCTGTCAATTCTGACTCATGGCCATCCCATGTGTTTCAGAGTAGAACTGTGCTCCATAGGGTTTTCACAGCTGTGACCCTTTGGAAGCAGATCTCCAGGCTTTTCTTCTGCGGTGCCCCAGGGTGGGTTCGAACCACCAACCTTTTGGTTAGTAGCCAAGCGCTTAACTTTTTGTGCTACCCAGGGACTCCGTCCTTATAAGGTAGGCACTAATATTTTTGACTGTACAGGAGGAAACAGCGCTCAGAGAGGTTAAGTAACTTTGTAGGTCACTCAACTAGTAAGTTGCTCAGGCAGAACTTGAACCTGGAGCCCTTGCTCCGGGTTGAAGATGCAGTCATCTGACCCAGAGCCCAGCTGAGTCCCAGCTGCAGCCATTGTCCTTCAGCCTTAAAGGTCCTTTGTTGCTTTGTTGTTTTGAGGCTCTGCCTGTCTCCAGCTATTCTGCTCAACAGACAACTGAGCAAGGGGTCGGACTGGAGGCAGGGCTTGGATGTGGTCAGCTGAGGCCTGGAGCTGACCTCTGCTGGAAGGCGGGAGTGTGGGAGCCCTTGGCCAAGGCTCCAGGTCCATTTTAATAAGTGATATATTAAACTGTTCCCACCGGAGGCCACGCTGTCAGCGAATGCGGGGTCCTCTGCTTGGGAAGACGAACTGTGCCTTTCCCGAGAACTCCATTCAGCAAAAGGGAATATAAATCTTTTAAATATACTCTAACATCGGGTAAACATTTGTCGAGAGGGCACTTTGGGGGACTGGGCAGATATCAAATTATACCAAGTGCAGGATCTGTTTGAAGTATCTGGTTAGGTAGCAATAAATAAGGAAAAGGCTATTAAAAGTCCGAGGTGGGGGAGGGTGTCTCTAAGCCTGCAAGCATCAAGCTTTCCATAGCAGCATCCAGGGCTGCATTATTCAAACCGAACTAATTGAACGCTTGTAATCAGCATACATCTCCCTGGATTCTGCTTCCGTGGCCTGTCCAGGCTGACAGCTTGAAGGAATATCAAAAAGCACCTCCAAGGGTAAAATTGGCAAATTAAGTTTTAAAAGAAAGAGACTTGAAAATGCTGTCCGGAGGCCACAGATGCAGGAGTGAGCGAGGGAGGCTTCTCCAAAGAGCAGGAGTCAGGATTGGCAGGCTCAAAGGCTCAGTGAGGAGCCCTGGTAGTGCAGTGGATAAGAGCTTGGCTGCTAACCAAAGGGTCAGCATTTCAAATCCACCAGCCACTCCTTGGAAACCCTATGGGGCAGTTCTAACTGTGAGTTGGAATTTTTTTTTTAAGGTTTAGTGAGGAGGCTCTGGAGGGAGGAGGCTCTGGAGGGAGGGGCAGGCATGTGAATGGCAGATGCGACAGTTCAGGGCTTGGGTTGGGGACTTAGGACTCTAGATTTGAAACCTCTCTCCTATACCTGTGGTTGTGACTTGGAGCCAGTTTCTCAAACTCCTTGGGCCTCTGTTTCTTCTTCTGTAAAATGGGCATGGTGATAATACCAACTTCACAAAGGATTATATGGGAACCCCCTCATCCTCCCCAGCAGAGGGCCTGGTACATAAGAAATGGTAGCCTTCAATATGAACATATATGAAGTGCCTACTATGTGCCAGGCAATGGAATTTCAAGAGCTAGCAAACAGTTCTTGTTGCACGAAGTTTCTTTGCCGATGTTTGGGCAGTCTAGAGCTGACATCCTGAGGGCTCTTGGGGCGGTGGAGGCGTTGGAGGCGGGAGGTACAGGTTTGAGGAATCAGCCGGCACCTCATTATCTCCATCAGCTCCCCAAAGCCCTCCAATAAATACAATCCTAAGTAAATCCACATGCTTACTCTCTAAAGGCGGCATCAAGAAAAGTCTGCTACTCACTTCTAACCAAATTGCTTAAAGTCTGGCTCTGCCATTCACACCATAAGATACTGAACTTCTTACCTCAGGAAGGGAAGAACTTGGCTCTCTGCTGGATCATCTCTTTCGACAAGTCTTCCTCGAGTTTCTTTCATTTGGCTACTATCGGTTTAGCCCACGATGTGCCAGGTACTGTTCTAGGCTAACTGGGTATACAATGGTGAGCAAAATGGGAATTTGCTCAGGATTTGAAAATGATGACCAGTCCCATGAAAATGAAGTTGGGAGCTTGGGGCTTGGATGCCCCAAAAGTCAGCAGATCTTCAGTGATGGCAAAAACAGGGGAACCAAGGAAAGCTGGGACTTGGAGACTGTGTGAAACTCAAACACGTGATCCACGTTAAAAAACAAAACAATACCCTCTTTATTTTAGAATAGTTGTAGATTTACAGAAAAGTTGCAAAGATACTACAGAGGGTTGCCATATACTCTCACCCAGCCTCCCCTATTGCTAACGTCTTACATCACTGTGGTATGTTTTTTACAACTAATGAGCGCCATGGTTTCTTTAGCTTTCATTAGTTTTTACCTCACGTCTTTCTTCTGTT